ATTAGCAGAAAGTGCAAGAATCTTGTATTTGGGTGGTCTGGACCAGAGTTTAGGAAGAAATTACCCCTGCAGAGAGTTTTGCGTAAAGTGAACAAGTGGACAAGAAATGGAACACTCTTCAAGAATGGAACCTCCCTGTTCAGTGGATCCCATGCGGTGTAACAATATCCCACTGCTGTACTTGCCCTTTTCCTTAGAAGGGGACAGATCTGAGCATGGACCATAATTGTACCTTGAATGGGGTGCTGGTTTGGATAAATGGAACAGATTGGATGAATGGGGACCTGCTTCTTGCGCTGGGTTGTGAAGCAGTGAGGCTCTAGCTCAGCAAGGCAAGGCAGAAGCAGCATAAATGCTGAGCTCTCCCTGCACGCTTCAATGGCACATTCCTAATAGTCGCCCCTTCCTCTTAAGCACCCGTCTGGGCATTCAGAAAGCAGAGGGCTCCTGTTGGTGTCACGGCTGGGTTCACAGATAGCCATGCAGGGACAGAATAGGACTTGCTCTGCTGCCGAAGAGGTGAGAGGAGTGTTCTGCATGCAACGGGGAAGCAGCAGCCAGCATGGCACTTAATAAAGGGGCTGAAGTGTAACTTAAAGCATGGTCTGCAGAGCCACTGGTGCTGAGTAGCTATCCCTTCTCCTTCGCTCCCTATGACTGTGATGAAGAGTCTGCTATTGCTCAGAATTACTCTGCGCCAGAAAGGGAAAGTATAGCACTGCAGCAAGGTGGATGTATTAAGAGATGTTGAGGATGTCTTTATAAGGCCAGCACGCTGGATTGCAGATTGCTTGGTCCTCTGGCAGCTCTGGAATAGGATAGTCTTTTCATTCTGGGAAGCACCTCCTCTTAACAGAGCCAGATCCTCTAGTGCAGGAGTGGGGTAGCCAGTTACCTGCCCCTCCTGGCCAAGTTGTCTGGGAGTCCAAAAATGTTGGCCACAACCTTCCCACCGCTCTCCAGCAGGGAAGGCTTCTTATTGGTTCCTGGTCTAATTCCTAGCCTCAAGCACTTTTTCAGGAGCTTCCATCAAAGCAACTTCAAGCAGTATCAGATCAGAAAATTGCTTTCAAGGACTATATCTGGTCGCTGCTGCATTGCTGAGATGGCTGGTTCACTGCATTTCCAAGAACTAGGTTTCCTTGCAGGTTATGCCAGTGTTGTGAAATCTGCCAAGCTATAAGGTAGAATGTCCCAGAGTTGCCCTGTGGTCAATTAGTGAGATTCTCCAGCCCATTTAAGGAGCTTGGTCACTGTGAGAGAGCCAGTTTGGTGTCGTGGTTAAGAGTGCGGGACTGGGTCCATGCTTGGCCATAGACCCAACTGGGCAACTTTGGACCAGTCACAGACTCTCAGCCCAGCCTGTCTCACAAGGTTGTTATGGGGATAAGAATTGAGAGCAGCAGAAAGAGAATGATAGAAACCCCTTTGAGTTCATTGTAAGAAAAAAAGTGAGATATAAATCTAATAAAAATGAGAAATGAATACAGGATTTTTCAGTGTGGAACAACAATAGCAGCACCATATTTCAGGTCTCTGTAGGATCTGTAGAACATTCAGAGTACTGTTTTCAATTTAGGAGGTTTCTGGATGTCTTTCTTCACCCCTGAGGGTTTTTAGGAAGGTGCTTGGTTATGGGATCTCCATGATTTGCAGGAAGTATTTACCCTCCCTAGATATTCCTTAGGCCTCATCCATGGAAAGAGAGAGTTATAGTTTGACCTGTCTTACCTGCCTCAGAGATGAATTCACTTTTCATCTAGCTAATACGCCTCTTCCATCAACACAGAATCAAGAGACGCTGAGCTCCTGACAAAGCTAACATCCAAGAATAGGTCTTGCATCAGGATTTGGGGCAGAGGAGGAGTTTACTATGTCTGAGGGTCAAGCCCTCTAAGGAAATCATTCCTTAAGGAAGTAGCTTGACATCAGCCATAAGGAATCTGCAGCTCTCTTGCATATCTCCCTATGGTGGGTCTGATTGGAAATGAAGCCCACTGCAGTGATATACAAATGTTCTCTGTGACCTAACTTGGGGTTTATGTTTGCTGTTCAGCCCCCATCTGGGAGGCAGCAGAAGCTCTGAAATGGTCTGTGAAGTCCAAGTCAATTACTCTTTGGACTTCTCTTTGTGAGGTATTGTGCTCTTGGGAGTAAAGAGCCCTCACTCCTGGGAGTTTGCAAGGCCTTTTCATGACATTATTGTCCTCCAGGCCCTCTCCCAAGTTTTCCATCCCTTTTTGTGGGCTTTGTTTAGAGTGAGGAAAATCTAGTCCTGAAACTGGAACAAAAGGCTTCTGAAAAGACAAAAATTTGGCCTTCTGCAGTTATATCTTAGTGCTGGCATATGGTTGGTTAACCAACCATAGAGTATGTAAAAGGGTGATGAAATGCAAACCCATGTAAAGGATGCATTTTTCCATTGCAACATATATGGAAGAAAAAGCCTCCATACAGTAGTGGATTAAACCTCTCAGGTGAAGGAGTCCTTTGTTAGGAGATAGTAATTCCCCATGGTTGTCCTAGCTTTCATTCTTCAAGAGGAAGCTAGGAAAGGTATACTCAATGAGGCAGTTGATTTAACAATCTTCAAGCAGTCAACGTGTTTCAGAAATTAAAATTATCATAGCAAACGATCTTATCATGTAGACCTCTAGTAAGACTAATTTTCCATTCCTGTGTATTAAAGCAAGCACTCTCTCTGTCTCTCTCTGTCTCTCTCTCTTTCTCTCTCTCTCCCACACACACTTCGTTTGCTAAACCCACCTGCTTTTTCTGCTTACAATCCCCAAAGTGATTGTCCATCTAATGGAGATAAATGTCAAAGGTAAGGTGTGGATCCCAAAAGTCAACTTGTTCAGTTCGTGCTGAGTTGTGGGTTTGTTTGCTTTTTAAAGGTTCTGTACAAGTACATAAAATGCTAAATGTTAATCCCCTGCATTCCCCACCCCCACATTTATTCCCAGGACTGACTTTTTGCTTTATATGTCCAAGGACCCATTTTCTGCAGAAATCTTTCTCAAGAAAAGATGAAAGTATGACATAACTTGCATGTTAGGAAGGCTTTCAGTTTTTCATTTTTCCTGGATCCAGGGTGGTAGAGAGTGTGCGTCTTGTTCGTATCTGATAGATGAGGAGGGTAGGCAACTTGGTGCCCTCCACATGTTTTGGATGACAACTCCTAGATTCCTAACCATTGGTCATGCTGTCTGCAGCATAAGTGCATTGTAGTTCAAAGCAACTGGAAGAACCTGGCCTGCCTATCCCTGCAGACATAAGAAAAGCCATGTTGGATGAGACCAATGGTCCATCTAGTCCAACACTCTGTTCACATGTGGCAAACCAGCTGCCCACAGGATCCCTCATGCAGGATGGGTACAAGAATTCTGCCTGCCTGATCTTCTTTAGGTTATGGAGTTTCTACTTCTGTGCTAGCTAGATGGATAAGAAATGGTATCCACCTTGCTTATGCAACCTGAGGCCTTTCCCCACTGAGTGGCATGATAGAATTTGGCTAGTTCTGTTTATAGGTCTTGCCCTTCAGTTGCATCAGAGTGTACTGCAACGACTGGAGAAACTGCCCACACAATCACTAGATATCGTTACAAGTACGTTTGCCTCCTCCAATGCAACCTTTGGTTGACATGTTTTCCAAACATTTGTTTCAATTCAATAAAAGTATACAATCTCACCCTTGAGTTAAAATGCTTTTAGATATGCTCTTAGATCTACAGAATTCTCCATCCCTGAACCATCAGCAAAAGAAAACATATACTTATTATAAGTTACCATTCATGAATGAAAGAAAATCTAAGAATCAGAGGCAGAACTATGAACCATGACTTCGGGTTTTGCTAGTGCTGGACTGATATTTTGAGTCTGGTGTGATGTTCTTCTATTTGGCTTTGTTCAATATCTGTGTGCTTCTTAACATTAAATACTGCAGAATGCTCCTCCTTGCACGCATGCTCTTATATATTATTTTCTCTTATAGGGCTAATATCTTCATGCTTTTTCTGGACTTTAGTTATCCTTGCTAGAGGATCCTGCTTGTCAACCAAGAAGAGGTAGTTTCTAGAACTCAAGACCGACCCACCCTGGAATTCCTGAGAATGGAAATATTACGACCGATTCCGGACAAAGGGAATGTTCCATTCTCACTTTCATGCATGAACCACTGGGAAAATGCTTCTAGTCTCCTATCCTCATGTGCCTTTATGGCTCACACTGGAGCTGACCTTGGGCCTCCTTACAGCGCCTGCATCTGGCCACACAGATGAATTTTTCAGTGATCTTGGGTCACGATGTCTGCACCCTACACAATTTCCTTCATCAATTCTTCATGGTTTTCTTCCCTCCTTCCCTTGCACATATGTGTGCTCATGTGCTTACCTAACTTTCAAAGAATCTGTGTATTTGGCACCAATATGTGTTAAGGTTAAATTAGTGCATCTTATTCTCAATTGTCTTCATTGGGTGGCTGAGAGGTGGTGAGTAACACTGCATCTACTGGTGTGCTTTTTGATGAGTAAGGTTTTGAAGCTGGTTCTGGGTGACACTTCCATATCACGGCACCCCACTGGCTCTTTGGCAATGCGAGAACTACATTGCTGGTGAGGTGCATTTTTCACATTCCTCACCCATCCCGGGAATTGCACACACAAACACACATATGCACACATGCATATAAAATAAGTAATTTTATGAGACCCCAGATTTTGGAATGGGAGCAGATCTGAAAATGTATCAAGTTTATATATGCAACCTTTTCTGTCTTGTGTAGTTTATTGAAAATTGTCTTGAAGTTGCAAGTTACTATGTATTTCTTATCCAAACTTAGGTCTCTGGAAGAAGTCCCTACCATGACTTAGATTATATCTTACAACTAGTTTTCGGTAGAGAATTGGCATTCTGGGGGACTTGTATTCAACCAGTCTGACTCTTGTGTTGCAGATACTAAAGTGACCTGTGAAGAAGGATCTCCATGAAGGTGACCAGCCATGCAATGTTCTTGGAAGGCTGTCCTCCTACTTGCTTTGGCCTCCATTGCTATCCAGTACACAGCTATCCGCACCTTCACAACCAAGTCCTTCCATAGCTGTCCTGTACCTAACCCAATGAACTGCACCCTGAACCAGGAGGCTGAATCAGCTGACAGACTGTGTGATGAAAGCCCGACGTTTGCTTATAACCTCTCCAGAAAGACACATGTCCTGATCTTGGCAACCACCAGAAGTGGCTCCTCTTTTGTTGGGCAGCTCTTTAACCAGCACTTTGATGTCTTCTATTTATTTGAGCCCCTCTACCATGTCCAGTACACCTTGATCCCAAAGCTGACACAGACCAAGGGTTCCACAGACCGACGGATCATGCTGGGGGCTGGCAGAGATTTGCTGAGGAGCCTCTATGATTGTGATCTCTATTTTTTGGAAAATTACATCAAACCCCAGCCCATCAACCATACAACAGACCGGCTCTTCCGGAGAGGGGCCAGCAAAGCTCTTTGCTCCCCACCAGTCTGTGAGACATCGATGCCTGTCGATATTCCCCTGGAAGAAGGGGATTGCGTAAAAAAATGTGGCACTTTGAACCTGACCCTTGCCACTGAATCGTGCAAAGACCATGGGCATGTTGCTATCAAAACAGTGCGGGTGCCTGAGGTCAATGACCTCCGAGCCTTAGTGGATGATCCCAGGCTCAACTTGAAAATTATACAACTGGTGAGGGACCCCAGGGGCATCCTCGCTTCCAGGAGTGAGACATTCAGAGACACATACAGACTTTGGCGGATTTGGGATGGCACAGGCAGGAAGCCCTATAACCTGGATGTGACACAGCTCACTACTGTCTGTGAGGACTTTTTGAACTCTGTTTCCACTGGACTAAACCGGCCACCGTGGCTCAAGGGCAAGTATATGTTAGTGAGGTATGAAGACCTGGCCAGGAATCCCTTGAAAAAGACTGAGGAGATGTATGAATTCCTTGGCATCCCAATGGACAGCAATGTGGAACGGTGGATACAGAACAACACCAGAGGAGACAGATCTGCAGCCAAACACAAGTATGGAACTGTCCGAAACTCAGCAGCAACTGCAGAGAAGTGGCGGTTCCGCCTCTCCTATGAAATTGTGGCGTTTACGCAGAACGCGTGCCAGCAAGTGTTGGTACAACTGGGTTACAAACTGGTGTCCTCTGAAAAAGAATTAAAGAACCTGTCCATCAGTCTGGTGGAAGAGAAGGACTTCTCGCCCTTCTGGTAATGAAGAAATCTAGTGCTCGTATTGTAATGCTGAGGCGAGCCGTTTGCAACTGTTGCCTTACTCTCCCCCTCCCCTCTTACTCTCTGAAATTTGCACTAATTCTTGAATGAGAGTCTTCAAAAAGAGTTGACCTGGAGAAGGTGCCCTCTCTCAGACCATTGCGCGGAGCATGAGTATTGGGTCTCTTAAGAGCTAAAATAAACTGTGGACTGGTAGCAATGTTTACAAATCAACACATACTACAATGTAAAAAAAGGAAAAAGTCACCTTCAGGCTTTCCATGCCGAAGGGCACCTGAGGGATGATACTTTTGCACTGTTTACTTTTACAATGTAAGAGGTAACTCTAAATATATATAAATATATATGTCTAATTTATGAATAGTGTTGTCACCTCCCACCTAACTCCTCCTGATTATGAGCAGGTTTTACTGTTAGCTGAATGTGGAATAATCTCGTTTTTAATCTTGTTTTGATATGTCTGAGTCATGTTATCAGGCTGGTCGCTGATCCATGGTTTGTTTAGTAACACCTTTGACATTTATTTGTGCCAAAAAAAAAAAAAAAAAGGGAAAAAAAGAAAAAGGAAGAAAATGGTTTGCTGAACAGCAACAACAAAACCTTAATGCTTTATCTCTGTGTTTTCTGCAAATAAAGAATTCAATGAAATCAATTGTTCACGGAGGGTAAAATTCACCAAGCCAGGCTCGATGAATTGTCAGACCATTTCCCTCTACTCTGGAGAGATGTGAACACCATTAACTGCAGACCTGGGGCAGAACGGGACAGGCGTGGCGGCTGCACCTTTAAAGATCCTAAGAAAGGAAGCAGGAAGGATGGCAGTGGTGAAGGTTGGTGCTTTGATTGTGAGTGGAAATGGGGAGGACCCTTGGGACACCCATGGCCCGTGTGTGTTTGAATATGCTGCCATCCTTTGCAGCAGATACCAACTAAATTGGATCGATATTCAAATGAGAAGCATTCTATAAATATTGTGAATAAATAAGTGATGAATAAATAGAACGAGGGTTCAGTAGCCTCAGCCTGCTCACAAAACTGCTGTCTTGCACAGCTTGGCATTTTTGTCTTGGCTGAACTACCCAGCTCTGGAGGGGAGGGGAGAGCATAGCCCTGCATGCAGAATGGCCCAGTGCATCCGGCTAAAGGGCCAGATGCAGCTGGATTGGCAGAAGCCTCTACCTGAAGCCTTGGAGGGTTGCTTCCAGCCACAGGAGGCGATGCTGGAACAGAGGAACCGTGGCCGGGCTCGGTATCAGACTGCCTCAGGTTGTCATTTTTATTGGTTTTTTCATTCCTCATTTGCTCTGTCACTCTTGAAAGGGCTAGTTCATCTCTGCATTCAGGGGTGGCCTTGCTCTTCCCAGCTTGTTTTTACCAGTCATCTTTAGTCATTCCTTGCAGCCGTGCAAGAAATTTAAGGAAACATGGACATCGTGGGGTGGATCCAGATGAACTTCACCTTGTCTCCTCCTCCCTGTGGCAGAAAGTCAAGAGACCTGTGGAATAAGGTGAGATGTGTGTGGGGATCAGAGATACCCCAACATCAGGGAGAGAGAACTTCCCTGGGTGGGTTTAGGGTTGAGGTTAGGGTTAGGGAAGGGAGATCCCACATCCAGTGGCACTAAATTAAACATGACTTTAGCCTGTTTTACACTCTATAATCTTGACAAAGGAAAACTGGGATAGTGATGCACAAGGAATCTGATTTTGGATGTGGAATTCATCAGATTCACTTGACTTGGCTCCTCAGACTCGGATCCACTTTGTCTCTGCCCTAAGTCCATCTTGTGTTGTATGTTTGTATGGGCATCTGGCAGGAAGGGAGTCTGAGCAAGACCATGAGGCTGGCTTGCACACCACCTGCAGCTCCACTATGTAAGTGGGATTCTGTTTCAGCACATGCTTCTTGTGGGCTTTGCACACAGATTTGTGTACATTGCATAAATATTATGTCGTTTGCATACTTTGTTCAAAGAATTCTGTACTTTGCACAAAATAGCTGCTAGTGTTCTTCACTGTTCACGGAATTCATCTTCATCTTGGTTTGGTTTGATTCCTGGCCAGGAATGAGTGTGGAAAATAAGTCTAATGAGCACAGGAGAGCCAGATTCCAGCCTGATCTTTGCATCCCTAAGAAGGGAGCTAGGGATGTTTGAGGAAACCATATTGGGACTGTGAATCCAGTAGATTTTTTGGGCTCAGCTCTCCAGACTCAGATCCACTTTGTCACAGCCTAAGTCTGAATTTCTGGTGAGCACACCTAGTGTTTGCAGGGCTGTTGTAAGGAACTGAATCCCACACACTGTGCGAGCAGCACCTTTCATCTGGGCTGGTCCAGCAGCTGTTGTTTGTGCTGCTTCATCTGATGGGGAAGAGAGTTGTTCACGCAGAGCTCTCCTTGCATGACCAACGAGTGTGGCTCTTCCATGCCTTTGTAGCAGCCTTTGTGTCACCTTCTCTGACTTGGAAGAAAGTTGCCGGTTGTGCATCCTTTGTTCCATGAGCGTTCACAGTCTTCCTCTGGGCTCAGCTCATTTTCTAGGACCAAGTCAAGCATGAGAGGAAGTCAGGAAATGGTAGAGGGATGGATTCCATTTATCAGAACTTATGGATCAATGGGAGTTTCACAGTTTTATGGATCTCTCATAAAGTATTACCATCTCCCTCCCAATAGAGTTGCTTAGATTATTCACAAGAAGTCATCTGATTAAACAATGTTGAAATTGCCTTCAAGCAATGATATGCATGTGTCTGCACTGTAGATTTTACTTACCCTGGGAGCTGTAATTTGTGAGCTGGGTTAGCTCTATAGAAGATAACTCTCTGTGTCCTTATTATACAAGAGTAATTATGTTAGGTCAGACCGAATGTCTACCTAGACCAACATGCCAGCTTTCCACAATGACTGACCAGAAGCCCATGGGAAGCCCAGAAGCACTGGAAACTGCCTCAAGAGAATTTCCTACAGATCTAACAAATAAGGAGGACATGAGCACAATAGCACCCTCCTGCATATATTCTCTAGTAATTGGAATTCAGAAGATACTGCCTCTAATACTGGAAATAATATATAGCTAGCATGACTAGCTTTATCCTCCATTAATTGGTCTAATTCCTTTTAAAATAAAGCTATGTTGCAGCAATCGTTACATCTTCTGTAGTGTAAATGTAGAATTCTCAAGATCCTTCGAAGGAAGCCAAGAGATATGGATAGAAATTAAGATGTTAAGTTGTGGTGGGTGTAACCCCTACTTTTTTCTTGAAAGATAAGTTATGAAACTTGACTAAGGACTAAAGTACATGTGATAGTAGTCATGTACAAGTATGGTAGTCGTGTTTAAAGAAGCATGTACACTCTGGTCACACTTATTTTGGATGGGACAAAAAAGAATAACATTAGGCCCCAGTCTGGGACAAGTTACTGATTCACATAAGGACCTTGCACCATTTTCCTGCTGAAAATGGCTTCTTGGCTGGTTTTTGCCCCCAAACTATTCTGGGGCATATGTTCAACATAAGCTGTCCCCTTTTGATCTGGGAGCATGCTTTGGTTGGGGCTCTGTGGCTGCATTTTCTACAAAATTCAAGCAGCCAGTGTTTGTTTAAACATACAACTAATTTCCCAGGTATTGGGATTCTAATAGTTGGAAATCGGGTTCTGGGATTCTAATAGCTGGAAATCGGGCTGCAAATTTAAGTTTATTTACTTGAGTCTGTTCCCAGGAAATCAACTGGATTTGCTTCCAATTAAATTGTCTTAATCTCTGCTTTACCTAGCAGAGACCACTAAGCAATAGAATAGAATGGGAATGCCTGCTTGGATTATGTTCCTTCTCCATAGCAGGAGGAAAGGGAACAGGAGAGCCTCCTGTGTAAGGCACATTGGTTGGGTTCAGACTACACAAGAACCCATGGTGGATCTTCTCTTCTCTTCTCTTCTCTTCTCTTCTCTTCTCTTCTCTTCTCTTCTCGTCTCGTCTCGTCTCGTCTCGTCTCGTCTCGTCTCGTCTCGTCTCGTCTCGTCTCTTCATTTCTCGTCTCGTCTCTTCATTTCTCGTCTCTTCACTTCTCTTCTCTTCATTTCATTTCATTTCTCGTCTCGTCTCGTCTCGTCTCGTCTCTTCTCTTCTCTTTTTTCTTTTCATAGCCACTGTTGGTCTGTCGTGTTGTTCAAACCCAGTTGTGGTATTTCACTATGGCCTTTAGAAACCATAATAGGAAACAAGAGTTTGTGCCATGGTTTCTCCATACCACCTGGCTTGTTGTGTTTTCTGAACTCAGGATCATGGGTTCTATGGGCCTGGTATACAAATACCGCAGCATCCTCTGGAAAGAGTGGCAACTGCCGGAGCTGCTCCAGCCATCTAGCCTCTGCATGTGGATGAAGGAGGAGAGGCAGGTGACACAGGTGGGAGTGTTGTACGTGGAGCCAACAGCAGCAGGACTGAGTGGGGAGAATGGAAGCCACGGTAGCATAGAAACCACTTTATAGTCTGTCATGTAGATCATGGTAAAACAATGAGAACTGTGGTAACCACACAGGGTTGCTTTTCATGTGGTGGGACTGCAGCCACTGTGCGTGCGCACACTCATGCATGCATGTGTATACAGTAAGAAAAACTGTGTTTCCATAATTGCAATTTTACCTACATGAACTTGGCAAACCACAGGCAGACTCCTCTTTCCACATGTAAATCCAGCATTGCAGGGCTCAGAACCAGTGGGCTGGAGTCAGATTTTGGCCTGGCAATTGCACTGGTAAAAGCTGCTGTCCTCTCCATCACAGCCCCTCCATCTTCTAAGAAATGCTACACAGAGAGTTGGGAGAGCCTGTTCTATGAGGTGAGCAGTGAGTACTCCCTGAAAATCAGGGTGTTGGGGGGGATCTTTTGTGAATAGACCCTTATATCTTTGGAAGGCGGATTCTGAAAACTCATTTAACTATGTGTTCAAAACTTGAATTCAGGCGTGCTTATGGGC